TGCAATTTCATTTGAGAAGAAGAACCTCAATAATTGGGGCTAAGGAGAGGATTGTTGGTAGGAAGATTATCTCTGAAAAGCCAAGTACTTTGCATGAGGAAAGAGGAAAGTTGATTTAAGGGCATTTCAGAAATTAACAAGACCTCACCCTCTAGGATCAAGGGTACAAAATGTTAAAGCTTTCATTTGACAAGAGAGTCCCTGAGATGCCTAATCAAGAGGCCATATAGGCCATTGGTTTCCCTGAGATCCACTTCTCTATGCCTAGCCATGTAGGCTTTGCAGCCATATTCAAGGGATCTGGCAATTGCTCAAGCTGGTAGCAGACACTGGCATCATCCACATGTGCTGGTTTTACAGGTGTGAGGAATGTACAGGTTCTGGATTTGTAGGGTTGCCACCACATTATAAGAAAACCCCATGGGGGCCTGGAAGTGTGTCCCTAAGAAGACACTGTGTGAAGTTGCGACAGCCAATGTGAAAATGGAGTGGAGTTCTCAAGAAATTGGAGCTGCCAGAAACACAGATTGTCAGTGTTGGAAAGCAGCAGGCAGTGAACAGAAATGACCTAATGAGGAGTCATGGGGACTGCAACTGGCAATTTTGTATGGGCAAGGCCATGCAAGCCCTTTAAAAGAGAATGCATAAACACAAATTCCATCTCAAAACATAGAGAGAAAACATGCAGTCAGTTTTTGTGATGCTGCCAAAAGTTGTGGATACAATCAAACATATTTTGCTTTAGATGCAACAGTACAGAGTTCAGAGACCCAAACCGACGAATAAATACAGAAAAAAACAACCCACTGAGAAAAGCAGGGCCTACATACATTTACTTAAATAGATACCATTTGAGCTTTCTGGATAATAAATAAACATAAAGTAAATTCCAATGAAAAACTTCCATAAATATATTCTTCCAAATAATGACATTCACTCCAGACATACATTACTCAAACAATATCCCTGAGCATTATCTGTATCCCTAGAATTAGATTTTATTTGAGAAAACAACTTTCTCAGGCATACTTAGCTAACATAAATGCATTGTGGGTGGCATGAGTCATAAGCCTAATGACTGGTGTCCTTCTAATAACATCAAATGGGAAGGTGGCCGGAGATCTGGAAGAGATGAGCTACAGGGAAAACAATCTCAGTGTTGTAGAAAATAACAGAATTTAGAAAAGTCAAAGAAGAATTCTTCCCTACATCCTACGGCCCTGATAGCACCTTCAAAACAGTGATGAAAGAAATTTCAGGTGTTATTAGCCACCTTGTTTGTGAAAATTTGTTGTGAAATCACTAGGAAAATAATACAGATACAAAGGAACAAAGCAAAATTACATTAATCAGACTATTGACATTCATAGGAAGTTAGCAAATTATGGATTTGGCTTATCCATTAATATAGAAGAATCATATTTTTAAAATGTTATCTCAAGAATGAAGACCAGAACATAGCTTTTTCTCCACTTAAGGTAGTAAAAGTTCTTAGTGGGCTGACATGGAGGTCATCTTTATCATGCTTGTCACTTCAGCTAATGGCATGTCCTGTCTCACAGACAGCACCGCCATGATCATTCACCACTGTTCACTGCTTCTTCAGCTTTCTGTGATTTGGGCCCTGCTAGTAAGGATATCCTGGGACTATGGCTTAATGCCATTCTTCAGAAGAAACTGAAACTGAAATGAATGCACCTCTTTATAGCACAGAGTAGGAAAAAACACAGTTGAAGAAGGGAACATTGGTAGGGGCTGGGGATTTAGCTCAGCGGCATAAGCGCCTGCCTTGCAAGCAGGCAGTCGTGCGTTCGATCCCTGGTACCGATAAAAACGAAAAAGACAAAAAAAAAAAAAAAAAAAAGAAGGGAACATTGGTGGTTCCAGTAATGATGGCGGATAGATAAGAGTAGATTACAAACTCCTGGAGATAGTCAACTTAGATGCCAAAATAACACTGCATGGAGAGTTCTGGACAGAGGGAGATGGATCCTCTTGACCCAGGAAGAAACTAAGGTCAGAAGAACCAATCCAACATGTAGTCCCGATGCTACTATTGGAATAGCTAAAGGTTCGGTGCTCCTGTTGCAGTGCCCAAACTCGCACGGCCACTACCGAGCTGCCTGAACTCCCACTGTTTTGAACTACTGGAACCACAGTCATACCAAGGTCAGGGATTGGAGGGCCCAAGAGAGAGCCGAGTTGGTGGGGGACCTGCTTCGACCTGCTGTGAGTGACAGGAATGAAACGCTTCCATGGAAAGGAGTTCCACATCTTGGAACCGGGCAGGACTGGCAAAAACAAGGAACAGTAATGGCTTCAGTCAGTAGTTCCCTTCCCAGACGGGATTGGTGGGGAATCCTTGGCCTGGGTCACACCCCTGGTTGAGGCCCAATAAGACATCCCAAACCAATTCCCTATGTGCAGCCCACACTAACACGGTGAAGCCTTCAGCAGGTTGAATGACTGAGGGGAGGACTGAGCATTCGCTGCCCCTGTTTTCATCACAATAACACACTGGAGTGGGCAGAATCACCTAGTCAATGCACTCCAGCAAAACCACAGCCAACAAAGAAAGAGACTGGGGCCTCCTACATATGCCTGTATGGAGGGAACAAAAAATATGAGAAGAGGAAGCAACAATAAATAGTTCCCAGCCCTCGATCCTAAGATCCTAATAGGCAAAGGAATACAACTAGAGGTCAAGTCCAGGAGGGAGAAGGTTCGGAACGACTTAGGTAAATTGCAGGTTGCCCCCCACCAATTTAAAGCCAAGGGTGTTAGGGGCTGGGGATTTAGCTCAGCGGCATAAGCGCCTGCCTTGCAAGCAGGCAGTCGTGAGTTCGATCCCCGGTACCGATAAAAAGGAAAAAGACAAAAAAAAAAAAAAAAAAGCCAAGGGTGTTGGTGAAACCCAAAAATGCACAGTGTACCTAGGAGAGGGAAAGGGGAGGAAGAGTCTTAAAAAAGATGGCAGAAGATATTGTTAATAGTGTATCAAGAATTAAAACCCATATTACTCATACCATTCTACTTAGATAGAATTTATTCTGTCCCAGTTTGTCTACATGCACTAGAACTGAGGGTACAGACAGCTATCCCCAAAATATCAGGATATATATAGCACAGTGATCATCTTTAATTTCTTATTTACTTAATCTGGATCCCTGTATAACTTATACTGTTTTATCATGACTGCTCTTAGTTAAATCTGGTTTGTTTGATTGCTGTTTGTTATCAACAGATTTTATTCAAAACTGTTATGATTGATAGTATCAAGTCTGACAGTATAGGCAACTACACTGAAGATGACAAGATTCACTACAATACCCATTCTAGTTTGATTATTACCTTTTTTTGTAGTTTTATACTATCTACAAAGTTGTGTTTTTATTATGTACTGCTATATTCAATTATAATATGTCTGATGATATAGCCAGTTCTATTGAAGATAACAAGAGACAACATAGTAACCATGGTAGAACTCCTTGTACAGTGGTTTGATATGCCTTTTTCATTTCATATGTTTATAGGAATATATTTTGTTTTGTTTCTCCCTCTAATATACAAAGAATAGAAATACATGCTAAGACTCATGCATGCGTAGAACCTATAAACAGTTTATGAGAAATGATCTTATAATGCATGATGAAATGAATAAATATTTGAAGAAAAAGAAACACTACAGTAGCCAGTGCTGATCTTGTAGTGTCATGATGTGAAATCCAGCAATACTATTATTCTTTGTTCAGAGTGATTTTAGCCACTTTGATTTATTTAGTCTCAACAGAAATGAAGATATGGATAACTCCATGTATGTTTAAGTGTATAGGATTTATAACCATATTACTAAGGTTTTGTGGATTAGTTGAACAGAACTGTTTGCAGTCTTGCTGTTTGAATCCCTACTTTATATATTCCACTTTTGTATCTTGAACAACTATTTGTAACAGGACAATATGTAAACATCAACCAGTGATTTCTTACTGTTTATATTTTCTTTGAAAATATGTACCATTTCTACCCCTTTTCTGTTTTGTTTTAGTCTTTCTTTAAACAATTTTTTAAAAAGGAGGAGAGAATCAGTGGTCCCTCAATTCCTCATCTATCACTCACTGTTAACAGTCAGTGAGGGTAGAAATAAAAGTTGGATCATAAATTAAAGACTGGCATTTTCCACATATCATCCAACTCTACAATGATCATCTCAGTTCTACTCTAAGCATTTTTCATAGTGATTGAAATATGTGATTATTTGTAGAGTCTTTCATGGAATGACTTCAGATTTATAATGTAGGGGCAAGCATCCGTAGAAGGAAAATAGACTAGGGACCACATTAGGACTTTCAACTAATCCTCACTAGAAGGAATTAAAAACAGACATTGGTTGAGAAATTTCTCTGGGAAATAGGTCAAGGATGGGGGCAGAGAAAGACAACAAAACTACAGATAAGCAAAGGCACAAAGTGACTTTGCACCAAGAGACCAGAGAATGAGCTGCTAGGCTGGACACAGAGAGAAAGTCAAGTTTCTCCAATAGGAGAAAGGGTGGAAGGGTTTTTCTCACTCTAAAGCTTGTGCACTAACATATATACTTACACACATGTGTCACTCTAAGGTCACTGTATTATTCAAGCAATTCATGTTGGTTGACTATGAGTTTTCTATGGCTCTAATTTAAGTAGTAAAAAGGAAATTTACAGGCAAGAAGAGCCTTGGCAGAGGTACACACATGTGTAGTCCATTCCCGTTCCATTTTACAGGATACACAGTTGACAAAGCACTGCAAGGAGCAGTGGTGGATGATCTTACCATAGCAAAATCTGGCACTCAGCCTACAAACTTGGTGAGGTCTCTGAACAGTTAAACAGAAGCCCACTAAAATGCTGATACTCTGACTAATGATCAGAGCACTGTTCTCCTGTTCTCCCAACTTATGAGTTTACCCAGAGGAAAACCTCTTCAAACTGTTTTGGTGCACAGAGAACTCTAGATACATGTGGATTACTATCATTAAATTTTATTGTCGTCATATTGGCATCCTCAGGTTGAGGATCTTTAGGCATTTAATTCTCATTTTGCCACACCAATCAAGTGGAAAAAAGAGTTGTCATTGGCTTCTTGGAGTCACCCTTCCCCCGAGTGGCTGAGCACATGGATGGAAGCACAACCTGGGGTTGAGTCTACCATGGCCAAGGATATCAGGATTTCAGATATGCTTGATTAAAACCAGGAGAAGTGAGTTCCAACTCAGTGATAAAGGAGCATCTACAGTTCATCTCATGGGGAAAGTCAACCTCAATATTCGGCATGGAAGGGAAAATCCTCCCAAGTTTCAGTGCTGCAGAGAGAAGCACAGAGAATTAAATGTCTCATAGAGCAACATCTCTAGCACAATCTGCATTTTCCTGTGTGTCCTGTCTTCCTTATGTTCTCTCAGCCTCTACCCACCACATCAAGACATTGAAGAACAAAAGAAGGGCTTGCACCTTCCCACTTTCTCAAATTCACGGAAGAATATTTGAGAAATGAGGCTGTGTGAGTCGGTGGTGATCAGAGAATCAGATTGAAATCATAATCATGGTTCATAATAAGACTAAGGTCAGGTGAAGCACCTTGTAAACGGTGGTTGGATTCCTTCTGACAGTCTCCTCAGTTGGGGAAAAATAGTGGAATCACTGTTAGGTGATTTTCATCTTTAATGTAAAACACTACAGGCAAATGCTCATGACCCTTGACTAGGTTCATCTGAACTTGTTTTTAATATTTTCATCTCTACTGTACCAATGAAGGAATCAGCTTGGAAATGTTGGTAATTTGACCAAGGCCACATGCCAAATAAACACATGATACAGCTAATATTTAAGTCCAGGTAAATTTACTCATGCACCCACCCATCCAAGATGCCCTCTTAGCTGTCCAGCATCGCAAACATATCTCAAACTCCTGATTTCTTCTTCTGAAAGGAGTGTCATGGTGGCATTGCTCAAGGAAAAGCAATCAGTAAATAAAATCTCACAGCCATCTGTGACACCTAATTTGTCAGCAAATTTACTTGGCTATTTCCTCCGTGTATCCAGAATCTGATCATGCCTTAACTCCTGCAGGATCACCACCCAGGGCCAGTCACCTCCATCTTGACCTGAATTATTAGCATGGCCTCCCCATAGTCTTTTAGGGCTTCAGTCAGTGTGGTTCTTTTAGAACACGACTCTGATGACACCCTCTATTCAAAACATCAAATGGTATCACATATCATTCAGAACTCAAATGAAAGTTGCTCCCATGATGTAGGCCACGGTGCACTCTGTGTGTCCCTGCGTCTCACTCCAACCTCATTACTCCTGCCCTTTCTCTCCTTTATCCTGCTCCGACATCATTGTTCAACTTACTTAAATATAAACAAGCATGAAGACTTTTGTTATCACCGTAAAAATTATTACACCCTAAATACCTGCATAGCTCATCCATTGTAACTTTTTTTTTTTTTTTTGCCTTCAGGTAAACTGTCACCTTATCAGTAAAATCTCCCCGGGTCCACTTCATAACATGTTTCGATCTTTTTCTTTATAGCCTCAGTTACTCTCATATACAGTGGTACCTTGGTTCATAAACCTGTTTCTGTTCGTGATTCTGGATAAGAACCCAATTGAACTAGAACTGAATCAAATTTCCTCATAAGCTAAGCATTAAACCTAATCACCACTTTTGATCAGTTCTTCCCCAAATTCAGTTTGCAACCAGATTTGTAGAAAGACTTTCGTTCACAAACTGAGGTAGCACTGTGTATTTTAAGTTCGTCACGTTTTCACTCTGGTATATAAGCTTGTGGAAGGAGACCCTCTGGGCAGGATGATGATCCCAATCTCCTCGGGACTGCCCAACACGCAGGTTACCAACCAATTATTGAGGGAATGAATGGATGACACTGCATCATACTTAGTAATGACATGACTTCTCTTAAAATACCAGGTGTACATCCAGAATCCCAGACAATGGACAGTTATTAGGAATGCATCTATCCTCAGTATGATTCCCTGGGACTCCAATTTAAATTTTCAAAACTATTAGGAAATAGCACGGGAGGACGGAAGACAAGCCAGCTGTCTGCCAATCCTTTCATCAATCCTGGCTCTAATAGTAAAATCACTAATATCCTCTAAATTAATCCCTAGGCACTCACGGAACCCAGATGCAGGCCCTCCAGTTTCTGTTGAAGCTGAGGATGGTCTCCATCTCTTCATCGCTCAGCTTGAAGTCAAAGACCTGGAAAGGTGAGTTTGAAAACATCCTTTGGAGAGCAATTCTTGGTGGGACTGGATGTCTCCACCTATTCCTCCATGGAGTGAGCTGCTATTTGCAGTTCCCACTGTGATGGAGCATTCTCCCACTGTGTTGAATGCATAGAAATTTTTCCCCCAAGTTAATCATTTACCAACACTGTATCTACTGTCAGAGGGTTTTACCCACTTTTCACCACCCTGTGTATTTTAGGCCAGAGAGCTGACCTCAGTGGAGCAAAAATGATAATGGAGGCCAGTGTAGAGGACTTGCAGGTACTTGCAGGTGTTATATTCAAAAAGGTGCCACAACAGCCATGAAGGCAGTAATCTCAATGTCTGGGCTTCCGGAGGACCACACAGGTCCTTGCAGAATGACAGTTCTTTAATACTGCCCATTCGCATTCTCATGTGAGGAGGTGGATTTGTATGACAAGACACTGCTCTTTGTGCAGCCCATGCTTAAGTGATGAAGGACAAAGAAGAGTCTTCCTCACAGTGTCACACACAGCTGGTGCTCAGGTGTGACAGACATTCTCCAGTCACTGATTGCAGCATGCTTAGCCCACATGTCATTAATCTCAGCTCTACCAAGGCCAGATGCCCTCGTGAGACATGACTATGTGCTGGGAAGTGACTAGGACCCACTGACAATCCATTATGAGATGAGATGTCCTGTCACCTACTTCACTGATGAATACCAGAACATCAGCTAGGGTCTCACCTGAAAGTTCTCTACAATGCGTGCCGGTGTCACAGACTTGGGGATCACTGCTACATTCCTCTGGATGTGGAATCGGATCAGAACCTGTGCAGAAAGAGGACATCAGCTTGTGATTATCTGTGAGGACCTACACATGGAGAGACAGACAGAGAGACAGACAGAAAGAGAGACAGAGAGAGACAGAGAGAGAGAGAGAGAGAGAGAGAGAGAGAATAAAGTGTTTCTGTAGTTCAGTGTGGGATTAGGTAGAAGAGCTGATATCAACTAAGAGATTAGCTCTTCCATGTACCTGCCAATCCTTCACTCCTTTCTCTGAGCTTGAGTGGCAATGCTAAGCTTTTCCTTATTTGAGAATCTGGAGCTTGGCAAGAGAGAGTATATCCTGCTTTGCTGAGACCCATTGTGCTTCCTGAGTCCCAGCGGATTTCAAAGAACCAGTAAAGGGCTTCATCTCGTTTTCGTCCCCTCATGGGGTTAAGTGAAGACAACACAAGGAATTAGGCACAAGGCTGAAAAATAGATGGCTCGCTGAGAGGAAAGGAAAAACACTGCACCTGGGCTGTGGTCTTTTTGTGCTTCAGAGCAATCTCCTTAATCTTGGGATCATCCAGCAGGGAAGGGTCCTCTGGCTTGGCCCTGGAGGCAGAGAGATGAGTAATCTCTTGGGGGACTGTATGCACATGTTCTCTTCTTCCATCAGGCTAAAGGCTGAGCCACACCGACTTCTCCACTCACAAAAAGTGAGAGCTGTATGTTTTTTCCATGGCCACCCATGAGCTCTGGAGCCTCAGCACTTGGCTAACACTGGTCTACTACTTCATGGCTGAGCTATGGTGCATTCAGAAGGTAGAATGGGGTCATTTGTTTTTGTTTGTTTTGTTGTTTAATCCCCACAGTTTCTCAGTATAATTCAATGTATGTTTCCAAATATATTGCCTTTGATGTGGTTTTCTTTCCAGTGCAATAGAGATTCACACCAACATTAATGCATTAGAATATAATATTTTGAAAGTATCAAGACAAATTATCAACACAGAGAAGCCTCACCAAGGTCTATCTGGACAGCCCAGGGGGCTGTAGGCAGTGACAGTGATGCCCTTCAAGTGGCAGTACTGGATCAGCTTCTCTTGAGTGAGGTATGGGTGACACTCCACCTGCAAGAGTGAAAATTTTGCATCAGATGGAGAGTTAGAATGCTTTGGGACAGCTACAAATTTGAAAAACATCACCAAGAAAATGTCAAATGGGTAGAGTTGCTAAACCAGACCTGTAGATCTACATTCTACTTCACTGAACCCTAAAATGAGACTTAGTATATAGCACTGAATTTGACTCCAAACACTTCATAATTATTAGAGCAACCCTCTTTAGTACACAGACTCTACCTGGTTAGTGACTGGTTTATATTTCAGTCCAGGCTTGTTCAAGAGCTTTTCTATTTGGAAGTGGTTGAAATTGGAAATGCCAATGGCTTTCACCAAACCTTGGTCCACCAGCTCCTCCATGGCCTGTCACAGAAAGGAGAAACATACTGACAGTCATCAAGCAAGTACAGAGATGGTGGCATGTCTTAGTGCTATGTCCTGGTGTACAAATGGATAATGATCCATAGCATCAAGGTTAACAGAGGGTAGACAGAAATTTCAGGGCTGCAATTTAACTTATTGGTAGAGATCTCAGCTAGTATATTGGATGTAGAAGGATCTGGTTTGATCTCCAGTAGTGGAGAAAGAGATACAGAGAGAGAGATGGGGGTGGGGGGAGAGAAACAGACAGACACAGAGAGAGAGAACAAGAAGAGGAAGAGGAGCAGAAAAAGATAAGGAGGGAAAAGAGGAGGAAAAGCAGGAAAAGAAAAAAGAGGAAGGGGAAGAGAACAGCCCTGCTTTCTCCAGGTCAGTGGGTTCCAATTGACTGTGAGCTTCCAGAAACATCCAGCGCTGATATAGTTAGTCCTGCCAGGCTCAGATCAAAGCCTGTGACCTGAATCGAGATTTCTATCCATGTCTTTAAAATATTTTATTTAGTAAACATTCCTGAATTCATTCAGAAAACCCAGCAATAGGGAATTTGTACTTTTTCCAAAGGACTGTGACCTAATTTCCACACTTGATATACTGCTATTGCAAGAACTGAGGCAAATAATTTTATTGATTTATATCATATATATTGTTGTCCTCACATCTCATAGTGAATGTTGATAAAGTATTAGAAAGGTCATATGTTCCAGGGTAATTTTTAGGACAATAACCTTCTGCTAATTTTATGCTCTTAATTTGTAACAATTTTATCATTGCATGTGTGCATTCCATAATGCTCACACCCCTTGTGGGAAGCCTGTGTATGCAGTGCACATCCCAATTCTGTTTTCTTCCCTTTTGCTTCCCTTCATTTCCTATCTACCCATCTCTTGACACCTTGCTTCTGTTTTTGTTTTCCTTCATGGCTGCATTTCATAATGCTTACATGCTCTCTACAATGATAAACGAACACTGAAATAGCAAGCTACTTGGCAAGTCTTGCCAGGATTTTCATTCTCATGAATAAAATATTTACTGGTTTGACTCTATGAATATAAACCATGCCACATGCCATTATTCATGAAACTCTTCATTAATCCTGAAATTTTGCTCTAAAACTTAGTCATCAGTGGCAAAAAAATAAATATGTTCTTTGTAAAAATAACTTTTTGTTTTAAAGATAAATACAAGATTTCAAAATTTTTTATGACTAATTTCGTTATCTTCCAAGAAAAAGTAAAATCCTCTCTTGAAAGTTCAGACTTAATAAACTTAGTTTTGTGAGTTCCTCAGACAAGTGTTCAGACTTTCTGATTGGATAATGCTGGGACAGTCATTAGAAAATAAGCCTTTTTTGGTTTTTAGTTTAAACAAGTACTAGTGTATGGACTAAAATAGCTCACAGCTTCTACATTCATGGAGCTGTGTCATTTTTTATATGGACTTTCATTTAATTATATGTGGAGTGTACATATAAATGACAAATTAAAACCTTCTTGATATTTTCCTTTGAGAATTTTATTTTTTGCATCGTGTGGCCTGATGCTCATAAGGTATATATTCAAAAATTTAGTATGCCTTTTAATTACATATTATATAAGGCATTGGGTTGTTATCCATCTTTCTGTCTTGCAGATTCTTTCAGCAAATGGCATATCCTTTCTAAGCAAGTTCAGTGGTGAAGTCACAGATCACTCCTTATTTTTGCTAGTAATATTTTGGGAGGTTATTTTTAGTATTTTTTCATTTGACATCTAGCTCAGAACTTCAGGACACTTTTTAGAATCCATCCATGGAAATCTAGACCATTTCTTCCTTCTAACATGTTCTTTATTGTTGGCAAGCAAACGTAATGACTTATTGTTAAAGAGAATCTCTTTCACATACACATCCAGATTGTCATTATGAGACCATTGCTTTTGTGCTTCACTCTTTGTCCTCAGGAATCACATCAGTTTTGCTATCTAAATCTTGCTATCTGCCCTTGACAGACACTTGACATGATGCTTGGTTAATTCGTGGAGCCTTTCTGTCACCATCCATTTAAACTTAATCACTCACTTTATTCTCTACTACCATTGTAGGTAGCTAACTTAGGTAGAAATATCCTAGTCCTCTTCCAGGAAAAGTCCCTGTTCTGCTTCATGCCCCCTTGCTTCATGACTTGCTTCCAAATTTAATCAATATTACCTAGGCCGTTATGCTCAATCTGACTGGTTGACCATAGTTTTGTCCCACCTTATAATTTTACCCACCTTGGACCCATCTCACCTCATGGTTTTACTCTACAAAAATCCCTAAAAAGGCAGGGTTCTCAGTAACCCAGTCCAGACCCCTTCTGTCTCTCTCTGTCTCTGTCTCTGTCTCTATCTATCTATCTATCTATCTATCTATCTATCTATCTATATCTATCTCTCTCCCTGACAGAAGCTTTCTTCCCCCAAGAAATATATTGTTTTAACCTCCATGTTCCTAAAATTCATTCTTCTATTTTAGAAAACATGAGCACCTACTGGACATCTAACTGGTTGGGAGTTTCTTTCCCCTGTAACACTATCAATTGCGAGAACATACACTGGTTTAACAAAAATAGTAATAAAAACTTTCATGACATTGAACTTTGACCATGAATTTGAGTTTCAGGTCGCTATCTGAACTAAGAAGAAGGGCTCTGGTGTTTGCCAGTATTTGGAAAAGTGCTCACAGTTTACTAAATATGTGATTAAAGTCTTAGTAATCAGACTTCTGAGTCAAATAGACTTTCAAGCTGGGTTGAATCCCAGCTGTGTCAAACTATTTAACGATCTGACAAGTTGCCAATATTTCTAGATTATCGGTGACCTTTGCGATAGCACCAGTTATCAGAAAACCTACAGTGAGTCTCCAGTTGCTCACAAGAGTTCTACAGAAAAATGAGAAAGAAAAAGAACAAGAGACAAGAATAACAAGGAAATAGGGTTCTGGGGGGATCTGTGTTCTCTGGAAACAAAGACCAAGAATCTCTAGCTAGTCACCATTTTATTAGCCAGTGGAGGGGAAACGTACAGTGCTTCACCTGAAACAGCATAGATGTAGTGGTTGAATGGAAAAGTTTAACGTCATCCGTTCAGACTCATCCCCTCACCTGGGTACTACTTTTCCCTGTATTGGCCTCAGCAGAATTCATCCTGCTCTGAGAGCCTCATAGTCTCCCTGACCATCAAGATCCTAGCAGTGACTGAGAGGAAGTGGAATTTCCATATTCCAAACCCAGCCCACAGGGAGGGCAAGGAGGCCTCGGACAGATTCTATGTCAATTTATAATTTGGGATCCATCTGTATTATATTCTCTAATAGATGGAAAAGGTAACACTTCCTCAGAGGGCTGGATAATTAAATGAGCTCTAAAACTGAAGTTTCTGGCATGTTAGTTACCTTATTCTTCACCAGATCCTGAAGGATATTTATAATGAGGTGCAGTTCAAAGAATGATAAATAGTCAATATTTTTTAAATGTATTACAGTAAAAGACACATGGCTAGAGTTCATTTGTTTCCAACACATTCATCCCAACATTCTTACCATTTTCTGAAACAGTTTTGGAAGGCCTCTTTTCTGAGACCTCCCATAGTTGCATGGCTTCCTGGATGTTCTGAATTAATTCAAAATCTTTATTTTTAATAGTCATTTTGAGTTTGGGGAAGAGTTAGAGGTCTTGCAGTACCAAATCCAATGAAAAGAGGATGACAATACACCATATCCATTTTATGAGCCTGCCTTTCCATCAGCAGCAGCACCAGTGATATATTTGATCACACTCATAAAGGCATTCAGGAAAGGGACTTCCCAAATTGATTCAGTAAGTGTCAAGAAAGATAGGATAAATGTGATTAAAACAAAGGGAAGTGTCTAGAAGGCGATTATTACCAATGTGTCTTATACTAAAAGAAATTCTTAATTTAAAGACTTATTGTACATTTAAATTACACTGAAAAAAATATTAGAAGATACTTACAAAGGGAGGAAACAAAGATTTATGAAATTTAAACTAATTGCCAGAGAGTACCTAATGAATATTCACAAAATTAGATCAAACCATTCCTCCACATCTTTAAAATACTATGTGTGCCTAAAAAATTGTGTGTTGTATTTCCATATCATTTCAGGACTCAGTCCGAACCTTTAAGATGTAAACAGATGAACCCTAAACACACAGGTCCTAAGGAAAAAAACAGAACTGCAGAATAACAATGCTAAAATCAGACCAAAAGCATATGGGCTCTTCCATGCCAGAGTAGCCTCTAGGATAACTAAAGGAACATTTTTTTCCCAGAGCACTTAAAAGGAGCTGGAACCTACCTCCCAGGTTTCCAAGAATGTTGCTTTGCCAGGAATTAAATTGCCACTATCATCTCTGGGGAATAAGTCCTTTCCAGGCTGTAAACGCAGAACAAAGTTTATTGTAATTCACATCTGGATACTGGTCTTGCTAAACAAAGCTTTATGGTCCTCATGCACGCTCAACACCAACAAGTGGGAAGCATTTCCTCTAGCTCTGAAGAACATACTTCAAGACACAGTAAGTTGCTGTAAAATCTCCAAATCAATATATGTTGTTATGTAAGTTCTCATATTTTAGAAATTTCTGTAGTGATTTTAAAGCTCATTCATAGTATATTCTAAAAACCTTCACTCTTATTATTAACCTTAAGTCCTATTGCTTCCAGGAGCCGTCCTAAGCAGACCCTGGAGCACTGAGTCCTGTGTCTTTATTGAGAACAGGTGACTTTCAGCATCACCACACTAGGGCTTCTCTGCAAGAGACCACTCCCAGGTGTGGTCTGGTCAAGAGGAGAGTGGAGCGCTAAATAATGTACTGCGAGAGTATACCAAGGTTTCTCCTCCACACTGAATCAAGACAGGTGGCCTGGTCTACCTCGCAGGCAGCACAAGAGCTCCTGTGTGACCCACTGGCATGCCCCGTCCCAGTGCAGTTGCTCTTTTCTGCCATCTCTCTACTCAGCATCTTGAGATTGGGCAGGGAGGAAGTCAAACCTGAAATGCCTGCGGCCAGTGAATGAGGTAGATGTCCAGGTAGTCCAGTTTCAGGTCCTTCAGGGTCTTCTGGCAGGCCTCCTTCACCAGGCTTCTCTCAAAGAATGTGGGCCACAACTGCAGAGAGCAACAAGGAGGCATTAGCATGGGAGAGACAAAGGGCCAAACGGCACTCTTAGCCCTGCTTTGAGATCTGCAGACTGATATAACCCGATAGCAGCTTGTTTATAGTACAGTTGATTAATGTGCATGTTTCAGTGTGCAGTCTCTAAGGCTGAGCATGCCATTTCCTAAGTGTTTTTTATTTTTTTTTTTATTATTTTGAAGGCAGTAAAATACAACAGAACAAAACCAATTGAGACAATACAGTGAAACTGGTACAAAAAGTCACAGCAGGTTACCGGAATAACAGTAATAGGTACCAGAGTATATCTCGTTATCTTCACAATAGTTGTACTTTCAAACAGGTATAGCAAAATCACACCAAATACAGAACATTATAGAACTTATGGAAACAGAACATTGAATACAGCAATACTATTAATCTGAAAAAAGCAAAACAGTGATAACAATATTTGCCTTCAAAGACATGGTAGAAGGAAATCCCCCATATTTGCTATATTGCATGTGGTCAACCTCCCAAGAGATGCTCAGACCTCTGGTTCCCATTTTCTAGCGGTGGGTGGGGGAGGATGGGATGTTTGATTCTCGGCCCTTGTGTTGGTAGGCTCATGGTTGCTTACAGAGGCCAGCAGGTTGCTTTCTTTCCCTGTACCATAAGTTCCAACATGGCACAGATCTTGGGAGATACTGGCTGCTTCTCTGCCTGAGGCGCCTGCTGATTCACATTTCCTAAGGGTTGAGGTGATTTCTTCTTCCATTACTCTTAGTGTTCTGGGTGTCCCTCAGATCATCTAGCACATGTAACCACTGATTAAGTATTTATGGACCTCTGCTCTTCCCTTCATTGGTTGCATGGCCTCTGAGGGCAGGAATTACATGTAGATTTAAAACTTAAGTTTTTTATGCCATTGGGAGAGATGGTCCTTTTGTCTACTCACTCTGCTGAAGCCTACCAGGCCCCAAATAATGACTTTACCAGGTATTCATCCAGCGGTGGCCTCTGGATAGCATAGCAAGTCTGTCTCCCCCTCCAGGGTATATTGTCCAAGAATACAGAACTAGTATTTTTTGGTATACTATGCATAATACAGATCCACTCATTTTCAAAATCTTCACATACAACATTCCCTAACTTTATTTTAGCACTTTTATCATTAGTCTTTTACTGAACATAAATTTTTAAGCATTTATTGTACCAGTTTTCCCCAAATCCTCTGACTGACAACCTTAGGGCCAGGGCTGCTGAGACTCCAATTGAAAAAGGCGGGCTGCAGAACCCTACCTGACTCTAGCTCTGATACAAGTGGTACTTCCCCTGGGAAAATGGATCACATTACAGGAAGTCAGGTACCAAGGCTAAAGGAGCCATCCTCAGTGTGCGGAATCCACTTCCCGGGGGTGGGGGGGGGGACACAGCCATAGCTTCTTGCACTTATGAATAACAGTTTGGTGTGTAAATGTTGGTATCCGGGGATGTAAAAAATGGAGAGAGAGAGGTGGACCTATAGGAAATGCTGATGAGCTATAGAACGTGTGAAGACCTCCCCTCATCATGGACTGCACTGTTACCTTGCTAACAATGAAGAGATCTTCTCGCTTCACAGCCTTCTCTTGAATCTTCTCTTGGATGGCTTCTCCCACCTCACGCTCGTTCTGATACATAAAGGCACAGTCAAGGTGGCGATATCCTGCATCAATGGCTGCCTTTACAGCTTCTTTGACTTTGCCTGGGGAAGACTGAAAGGCAACAGAAAAACTCATCAGGTCTTCTTATCCCAGGACCTTCTGTACCAGGCTGAACACGGCTGAGCTTCACCAACTGAGGCGCTCTATGGTCCCATTGACCAGCTTGGTGGCAAAGACTTCAAGAAAGATTTTACATGAATGGGAAGAAGATGAATTTATTTAATGTTTACCATGTGACTACTGATCCTAGCTAAAAGTCAAGCCCAGTTTTATCCAGGCTAATTTGAAGTATGTGCAGTTGGCTAAGTTTATAGTAAATCCTATAACTGGTAAACACTGGGATAAAAGTAGACTCAGGAATCCCAGAAGAATTTCAGAACCTAGGTGGTGACAAGAATGTCAGAATAATCTTCACATTATGAAGCTATGCTCCACCACAGAGCTGACTGAGCACAGAGTGTAGGTCTGAGCAGACTCCTCCATCTCTCCACAGTCCTGCCTGTGGTTAGGCATGGTGGTACACACCTGTCATCTCAGCCCTCAGAGGATGAGGCATGTGGATCACTGCCAGTTTAAGGTCAGCATGGGCAACACAGTGAGCTCAAAGCCAGCCTGGACAATACAGAGAAATCCTGTCTCAAGAAACAAAACAAAACAACAAAACAACAAGGACACCAAAATCCAGCCTGCAAAATGGGAACAGCAGAGCCAGGCTTCCTGACCTCCTTGTGCTGGTTACTCTCCACATCAACTGACACCCAATAAGGTCCAGCCGATGTGAGCCACTGTACGATGATTGTTTCAGACAGAATAGCTTAGAAAAATACATTTCATTTTCCACCCTCAAGAAAGAAGAAAAGAAATTCTACACTTTATTTAACTTAACCAACTCCAACAATGAGGGGGCAAAGCACTTAAAAATGATCTCGCAAAGATCAAAAACTTTTTTCTCTTGTGAAGTACCAAATACTGAGAGGTAAATAAAGCAACAGGAGCACTGAGACAAAAAATTGCAGCCAGTAAACCTGATGTATCCAGGGCCCCTTTCCAAACCACTGCCACCTCCTTCAACTCCACCAATACATAAAAATCCTTTATAGTATTTTTCCCCTGACGGGAAAATAGCTCCTTTCACAGTCTTTATAACTACTTTTGAAATTGAAAAACACTTTCTAGTAAATATATCTGGGACCATGACATTTACTGGAAATCTGAGATTTATTATCACTTATGTATAAGGGTAAGATTATGATCTGAGGTAATTCTTACAGTTCATGCAATGAGGCTAAGACTGATTGAGGCTGGCACTGATCTGCTCATCCTAAGTGACCAAAATATATTCTCAGAATCCACAACCTAGTGCGGAAATGAACAGGGATCTTGAACTAGGATTTTAGGATGTGGCAAACTGCTTGGACATATGGGTGTGACCTGTTATTCAAGGAGACCCAGGAGACATGTGCCAAGCCCTGTTATTAAAATCAACCAGAAAGTGCTATCTCAAATTCCTCTGCCAAGAACTCAGGCAGATCTGTGATATGATGGTCTAGAACTGACATGAGCCTGAGGAGTGGGAGATACAAAAGACAGCCACCATTATGCTGGTGGCCTGTGCTCCTTCCTTCAGTGGGCCATCATGCACTCTGCAGGGTATAATTCTTTTCTTACATTTAATTGGACCCGACTCACTCTGCAGAGTATATTTCTTTTTCTATTTTCAATACCTTGTGTCGATGTCCGCTCCCGGCCGGCAGGAAGGACACACGACACAGTCTGGTAGTGGACAACCTTTTCTTTTTATTTTCCTTCTCCGTACAGCCTGCCCTGGGTTCTCCCAGCTGAAGCCTCCTTTGGTCCGCTTCCCGCGGCTCCTTTTGTGCTTCAGTCTGCCCCAAAGCCTCTACCGGTCCGCTCTCCGCGGCTCCTTTTGGGCTTCTACTTCCGGGCTTCTATCTGGCTTCTTCTTCCGCCCAGGGGTGGCACCGGTATATATACGGGTACAGTGTCCAATCATGTTAAAGTAAGCAAGGCAAGCTGATTGGCTAACATCATCAGTTGCCAGGCAGACTATATTGTTGAGCGGGTTGTTTACGCGGTAAGCAGGAAACTAACATATTCGATGGGAGGGGTAATCTACCTCAGGCCTCACTCTTTACTACAGGCCTCACGTCCGCCAAGTGAGGCGACCGGGCTCGGGGCTGCGGCTCCCAACATCTCCCCCTTTTTTATTTTTTATGAATGTGCGCATCGTAGCCCTTCCTGGACTGGGTGCAGAGGCTTATGCCCTATGCGTAGGCCCACCGTAGGTCCTTGGCTTAGACCCTGGTCGGCCGTCCCATGGTCTGCCAAGGCCCTGAGGCCCTCGTCCTTTTTCTAGGGCCAGGCACAAACTGGACGGAACCTGGATGCACACAAGCTTGCACTCATTTCCTCTCCGTAAAGAAATCCCCTCGGAGAGAAATTTAGACCTGGGCAGCATCTAACAGTCCAGCGGCTTACGTGCAGGATGGGGTAGGGCCTGGCTTAGGTCGAGTCATGCTGGGGAGGCACGCTCTTACCCGTCATTGACTCATCTACCCTGCTATATCATAATTTTTTAGAGGAGGAGTGTGGGAAGCTCACCGTCCCTAGACTCGGTCGTAGGCTAGGCGAGCGAGCCATGCATATGCCTGAGGATCTTCTTGTCCATTTCGGGCTACCGCTATTTCTATTCATCTTGTTGGTTGGTCTGTGATGGATCTCCAGTAGGGCAGGTCTGATCTTCAGTCGAGGGCTTTGTTGCCCGTGTCAGTCTCTCCGGTATCCACAGTGGTTCTCGTCCCGGTTCCTGTGGGAAAACACAAACCGCGCCTCGGTTCCAGCTGATTACCGGATCCGGGCCCATCCATTGTCCTGTCAGGACATCTTTCCACTTCACCCACCCTTTATGGTTGGGGGAAGGGTTGCAGTGCTCCACAGCTGGGGAGCGATTATCATTATTTAAATTTAAAAAATTGTGTGTGAATAGTGCCATGGATAATCGTGCCTTTGGGGCCAGGCCTTGGCCTACTCCCCCTTTTTGTTTTTGTAAAATTTCTTTGAGGCTTCTATGAGCCCTCTCAATGATTCCTTGACCTTGGGGATTGTATGGGATACCATGTTTTAATTGAACCTCCATCATTTTGCAGAACTCATTGAAGGCTTTGCCTATATAGGCTGGTCCATTATCAGTTTTTAATATTTTTGGTTTGCCCCATGCGGCCCAAGCCGCCAGGCAATGATTGATCACATTAGACACTTTTTCACCTGTTTCTGCTGTTGCAAATATGACGCGAGAACAGGTGTCTGTGGAAACATGAACATATTTAAGAGTCCCAAACTCCTGTATATGTGTGATGTCCATCTGCCAAACATCACCAGGGATCAAACCTCGAGGGTTTACTCCCATCGGTATGGCAGGTTTGTATGTGGCACAGGAGTCACATAGTCGCACGATATCTCGTGCATCTGCTCTAGAAACATGGAAATGGTTTGCTAGTGTCCTGGCATTGACATGAAACTTATCATGGAAGGCACGGGCTTGCTCGATTGGTGTTAGTAAGGTAAAAATCCATAACGGGTGAGTGGCAGTGTCAGCAGCCGCATTCCCCTGTGCCATAGGCCCTGGCAGGGATGTATGTGCTCTTATGTGGGTGGTGAAGACCTTATGGTGTCTGTTCTGAAGCAATGTCTGGATAGACAGGAACAGTCCAGCCACTGTGGAAGTGGATCTAATTAAACCGGCAGTCTCAAGCACTTGCATAGCATTGACCACATACCTAGAATCGGAGACAATGTTAATGGCCTCTGAGAACCGTTTAAGAATCATTTTAACGATCTGCAGTTCCACCACCTGAGGCTGATCTGGTTCAAATTGTATGGTAACCGGGGGCTTGCCTAGGATCACATAGGCGCCTATCCCCGTCTTGGAGCCATCTGTGTATATTGTAGTTGCTGGGACTAATGGCTCAGAGGCAGTAACCTTTGGAAAAATTATAGGGTGCTGAGTGACAAATGACAAGATAGGGTCTTTAGGGTATTGATTGTTTATATCCCCATGGAAAACACATCTCAGAATGGCCCAAGTATCTATGCAGGCAGCCAGGGTCTTGATCTGGCTGGCGGTATAGGGTACTCGGATGGCTTGTGGTCCTGAGCCAAAATGTTGGACAGCTCTATCATGCGCTTCAAGGGCCAATGAAGCGACTGCCTCCGGGTAATGCTCTATGACTTTTGCAGGTGAGACCTTAGGGTGTATCCACAGTAGTGGTCCTTTCTGCCAAATCACCGCTGTAGGCTGTAGACTAGTCTGTAGCAAACAGACATCAAAGGGTCGCCCTGGTTCAATTCTGTGTAAGGTAGCCCCACCTAAGGCTTCCTCTACTCTCTGTAAGGCAGCTCTTGCCTCAGGAGTGAGCCTCCTGTGGGAGGCTATATCTGGTTCTCCCTTCAGAAGGTCGAACAGGGGTTTGAGATCTGAATTTGGTATATGTAAATATGGCCTAATCCAATTAATGTCTCCCAATAGCTTTTGCATGTCATTTAGGGTCCTAACGCCATCCATCCTAATGGTGACCTTCTGTATAAGTCTGGAGGCGACACTGAGGTCCACACCTGCTGGCCCAGGGGTGGCCCTTGTTGAAGGCTGCCATCCTGAGCTGTCCTGTCTCTGGGGCGGGGGCCTGCCTGTGAAGGGGGCCCCCTCTGGCCGTTTTTTGGCTCTCTAGCATCTTGTCCACAAATACGGTTGCCCTGAGCATCAAAGACCGACCTACACTCCTCAGCTTTGTGTGATCCCTTCTTGCATCGCCCACAAACATATGGTTCTTCATTCCTAGGGCGAGGCCTAGCATCTGCATTGTTTGGGCAGTGACGTTTAATGTGTCCTGGCTCCCCGCAGGCAAAACACCCTTTAGCCTTACATTCCCCTTCTAACCCGCGAGGTCCCCTCTGCTGTACAGCCGCGGCCAGGAGAGCAGCCACTCCCGAGTTGGAGAGCGGCCCCCCTATCTCTCTGCATATCCTAATCCAGGCATTGAGGTCCTTGTTCTTATGAGGAGCTATCGCTGCCTTGCACTCCTTTGTACATTGCTCAAAAATCAGCTGTCTTACCAGCGGTTGAGCCACTCCCGGATCAGAAAATATCTTATCGGCAGCATCTTGCATTCGGGCCACAAAGTCAACAAATGGCTCTGTGGTACCCTGAATTATTTTTGAAAGACACAAGGAGGCTGTTCCAGCACCACTTACTTGCTTCCAGGCGCGGAGTCCTATGGCATTGATTTGCTCATAGACAGCGCCGGGGAACTGGGTCTGGTCATCAGCGTGCCGACCTTCTCCCATAAGCATTTCCTTGTTCCACCCCCGGTTTCCTCGATTGGCGTTTTTCTCAGCCTGCTCGGCAGAGAACTCTGCATACCAGGCTCGCCAATCCAGGTAACTGCCCGAGGGCAGACAGGCCTTTGCCAGCTGAATCCAGTCCGCGGGGGTGAGGGGCCCAGAAGACAGATTCTCCAGCATGGCAATGGTGTAAGGCGCAGTCGGCCCAAAGGTTGTAACTGCATTTTTAAGTTCTCTAATCTGCTTTATCTCAAAAGGCTCCCATACATTGCGTCCCTGGCCCATAGCTACTTGTACAGGAAATATCTCGTAGGGGCCACTATCTATCCCAGGTGGATGTACCTCATGAGACAAGCGTCCCCCCTGCCAAAGCCGCCTGTAAAAATACCGACCTGCCGGCGGCGGAGCATAAGACAGCGGCCGTGATTGGGCGGAAAATGGGGGCCCGTGCATCACTTCCTGTTCTGGCGAAGAGGAAGGGAGCTCCCGGGCGGCCGCCCCGCGGCGAGGGATCGCCTCCGGAAACGGCCCCCAAGGTGGGGCGGAAGGCTTCGCCTCCCTCTCGCGCCGGGGAGCGCTCAGGAGCTCTCTACTCCTCCGCAGACCAGGTTGAGCAGAGCGCAATTCGCGGGGCAACGCTGGAAAAGAACCCTGCGACTCCTTATTGAGCGATTTAGGCTCCTGACAGCTGGTCTCTTTGGCCTCCTTGCCATTCAACTTTCCCTCGTCCTCGGAGTCAGACGACTCCGAGGCTAGAGCCCCGTCCTCCTCCTTAGCATCCTTGTTCCCCTTGACAGACACCTCTCGGGAGCTCCCTGACTGGGCCTGCTCAGATACCCTGCATACTTTTGTAAGCTCTTGAGAGCTTTCTCCACAACCACCCTCGCTCTTAGTGCCGCTACCTAGCATGTTTCCCATTTTTTAATATGTTACTCACCGCGTGAGGCCCAAGGAATCCGCCACTTACGCGTGAGCCTGAGGGGAGTCTAAAAGCCCTGTAGGTGCGCGCCACCCAGAGCCCAGGCTTATCCCCAACTCACCTGTCTCGCAGCTCTGTACTGGAGCGTTGTCCACTTCCACGTCTCGGGGGTGATCAGTCCCCGGGCGGGCCTCCAAATGTCGATGTCCGCTCCCGGCCGGCAGGAAGGACACACGACACAGTCTGGTAGTGGACAACCTTTTCTTTTTATTTTCCTTCTCCGTACAGCCTGCCCTGGGTTCTCCCAGCTGAAGCCTCCTTTGGTCCGCTTCCCGCGGCTCCTTTTGTGCTTCAGTCTGCCCCAAAGCCTCTACCGGTCCGCTCTCCGCGGCTCCTTTTGGGCTTCTACTTCCGGGCTTCTATCTGGCTTCTTCTTCCGCCCAGGGGTGGCACCGGTATATATACGGGTACAGTGTCCAATCATGTTAAAGTAAGCAAGGCAAGCTGATTGGCTAACATCATCAGTTGCCAGGCAGACTATATTGTTGAGCGGGTTGTTTACGCGGTAAGCAGGAAACTAACATATTCGATGGGAGGGGTAATCTACCTCAGGCCTCACTCTTTACTACAGGCCTCACGTCCGCCAAGTGAGGCGACCGGGCTCGGGGCTGCGGCTCCCAACAACCTTGAATGCATGTAAAACTTCACTATCTTTTTTCTTGTCCTGACCAATTCTTTGTTCAGCACAGAAAGAATACAGAAAGCACCTGTAGGAGGAGACTGTAGCACCCCAGAAGCCACTGACAGTCCCACCCTTCGCCATCAGATGAGAGGAGAAAGAGAACACAAAGAAGGAAAGAGGCCAAAGGGGCAAGACACCCTACAAGAAGAGGTGAAAGGGACAGGAGGGAAGAGGGAATCCAACGAGGTTCCCAGAAACTATCTTGGGTGACGCTGTCACGGAGTGCCCTGGGGTGTGCCTCTGAGCATTTTTCAGATTCACATGAACACTGGCAGAGCTGGATTTGAGCTCCTGGTGCCCAGCTCAGCCCTGTATGGTTGCAGCTCTTCTCAGAATTTAGTGACTGTGGGAGGATATTGGTTAAGTGCAGACGCTGACCCAGTAACCTGAGATGGTTCTGAGATTTGCATTTCTAACTACTACAAAGGTCACACTGTTGCTGCTGGCCCAAGTCCCATTGCCCAAGCAGCTAGAGTTCTACATTCTTTCTGAAGCTCTACATTGTTTCTTAGTCACTTTGCCAGCAGCAAACCCTCAGCCAAGAACTGTAAAACACCCAGACCCAGAAGTTCTCCAGTGTCAGCCAGTGTTTTAGAGAAACAGAGTGCTAAAATAATAACTGCCCTAAAACCAATACGTTTTCAACACCTCTTTGAAACTTGACACTTGCCAGAGAAAATGGT